AAATAAGATCATTTCTAACTGTTAATTGTCATTTACTAAATAAACAGTATACCAAATTCATTCCATTATTATGCCTAAATCCATTCTAAATAGAATGCCAAAAAAAAAAATTCAATCATACCAGAATCCCGACAACAATTTTTATGCACACATTTCATACCTATTTCATGCCAAAAGTCATCAATTATTCATTCCAAAATCATGCAAATATAATACAAAAAAAAAATCATTTTTAAATATTAATTCCATTATCATGCCCAAAATTCATTCCAAATAAAATGCAAAAAAAAAGTTCAATCATACTAGAATTGTACCCAAAAATATTATCAATTGTCATACATGTATGGTATAACTAGTATACCAATTTCAAACAAATTTTATGTATTTTTTAAAATCAGCAACGTACCAAAAAATGAAAAATGATTCAAACAAGAATAAACAAATTCAATGTTCATACCAAGATCTAACAATCTACATAAAAAAAACGCAATAACTAAAAGTATTATACACAATTTTTTATTTTTTATTTTTTCCAGTATTACTGTTCCATATTTTATTTTACGTTTTATTGGTAATCGATTAAGAAACTTTCATTCACAATTTCATAGCATTTAAACTAAATAGAAAACATTTACATATTATTTATAGAGCAACTTTCACATCTAGCAAACATAAAAATCATATTTGTATCTTATAGCTATAGTTTGCATAATTGCGCTCCATAGCAAATTTATGTTTGCTATGGAGCTATTAATCTGTATATTTCAGGATTCATTCGAAGCTATATATAATTTTATTTTCTAAATAAATTTAATAAAAGGCTGTAAATTCTGTTACAAAAAAGGAAGACAATCGCTAAACTCACGCAAAAAGATCTCTTTCCTTCTACGACTTCTTCATCAGTAGTGACTCCATTGTAACTGCCTAACTGGGTACACGTTTGCCTAGAAATTTAACACCCTGAAAAATAATACATATACAGTTTTACTCAAATATACATATATACATAACTATGACTTACTGTGTATAAATATGACACAAATACAGTTAGCGAATTGTATAAAATAAGATTTAATTCAATTTATCCTATACAAGTTTTATAAATAACATTATACATTATACAACACATTTCAATTGTATAATCGTTTATATTGTATATATAGTGAAATTATTGTACTTCTATTAATGGAGAAAGTTTGTATATTAAGCCTAATGGCTAAAAAAATACAGATCTGTATAAATAAACATATTAAAAAGTATATATAGTCATTCTATATAACACTAATTTTATCCGAATATAACATAAACATGTTTTATATGGATATTATATATTATACAAAACATTTCAATTGTATAATTGTTAATATTGTATATATGGTAAAATTGTTATAATAACTACTGTTATTTATACAATAAATTTGTATATTAAACCTAATGGTTGTACATATCTGTATAAACAAATAGATATAGGGAAAAAATTTACAGAGAAAATATAAGACTAATATACAATCGTAACATATACAAATTAATGATTATACAAATTTCTGAACTTCTTCGTGTTCATCTTGCTCCAATGAGCCAGAAACAATTCTAATATACAATTGCTTTATACAATAAGTTTGTATATTAACCCAATGGCTAATATACAATTGTTTTTCCTTTCCTTTTCTTACTTGAACTAGCATCATACTGATCTTTGTCACCTCCCTCAACAATTCCAGATTACTTCCATTTTGCACTAATTTCACCCAATCTGTCTGGGTCATTCTTAAATTTGAATCTAATGTCTTTAATTTCTTTGGATTTGACTATTGAACCTGCAACCTCTCCAAAATCCTAAGTTAGACCCAAGGAAAATGATGGTGGTTCAACAAAAAAATTCCCATGAAAATGTATACCTCTTGTCAATCTTGTCAGTGGAGTATGTTCATCCATTGTATAAGTGAAAAATCTATATGGATTATGATTTCATATGAAAGTTAAAGCAATAAGGGAAAAATTGGAAAAATAATAATAATCGATTTAGAGGTTTTGGCGGTACCTGAAATTTTTGAAATCGCGATTGAGAGCGTAGTAGTGAAGATTTGAAATTCAAACTGATTTTGTGGAGAGAATTTAGGAGAAATTGAAGGGTATGGAAAAGAGGAAAGAGATGAAGTGAGTTGTATAAAGGAAATGACTTCCGTTTTTTTCTAATTTGTGGGACCCGTCAGTAGCAAGATATGCGAAACTGTAGCTATTCAAAGGAAATAAATGAAACAGTAGCTATATTATTTATTTTCAATTAATAGTTTGCTATTATGCACAATTTTCCCTTATTTATATATGCCAATACAAATAAAATTTTGGAAAGAACACTAACCTAAAGAATCCCATCTACCACTATACTTTATTAATACTGACTACAACAAAGAATATTGAGAAGAGAGAAACGGTAAAAAAAATAAAAAAATCTGTTTGAATGAAATTAAATAAGTGAGAGAAAATATCAGTAACTGTTTTGAGCTAAACAAGGAAAACAAATATTCTTTTTTGTTAGGACTCTCCTATATTTATGACTCTCCAATTTTTATGTCTCCTATTAATTATCATTAATTTTTTCAAATTATTTACTACCAAAAATATCCGTTTTTACTTTATTTATTTTTCAAACTAATTGGTTTTTACTGTTATTTTAAATCATTTTTTAATTTAGTGAAATGTTATAACCTGTAATTATTTATTGTTATAACTTGAAAGATAAAGAATAATGTCATAACTTATAATTATTAGTCCTAAATATGTCAATTATAAAATTTTCACTTTTATAAAATAGGAAGATTAAATTAATATAATTTTAAATTTAAAAAATATAGAGTTAGTTATTTCACCAAATACCAAATGCGGAAAAATGGGATCAATTGTTGAAAAAATCTCTCCTATTTGAAATTTTCATATTTTATATCGAAACTAATTCCAACCAAGTTATAGTTGCATTGCTAACAGCCTAACACGTTAACTTAAAATTATCTTTTAAAATTACTCTTATCTTTTTAACGAAAAACAAATAAGTGATTTTAACCCTTATAAAAAAAAAGCAAAGTTCATGTCATGTATAAACTTATATGCATGTAGATTGAAGAAATCATGAATTATTTCCATATATTGTAGCCAATATTAATTTGTCATTAAAAGTATTTAATTAGATGCAGCGTGTAGGTTACACGGAATGCTTTATAATAAACACGACGTAGTTTATTTGCCACCAAACATATTTATTATTTAGTGTATACTAGATGACTAAACTTAGCAAATAAATGAATAAGGATTTCTTTTAATGTTTTCTTTCTGTTTTTCAAAATCGTTTAACCAATTTCGACCTATAATAGGGTTGTGGTAGGATTGAGATTCCTTCATCCTTAACAGAGGTATTAGATTCGAGTCATGAGTATAGAGTTTATTCCTTAAATAAATTTTTCGTAGTAGAAATTTAAATTAATCGACGCTCAATACAAATATCACACATCAGGTGATAAAGAGAGGGGCTATCGAGCCCTACTTATGAACTTTGACTTTCAAAAGTAATGTCAACTCATATCCAATTTGCAAAAATCTTCCTTACTATGGTCTATGTATTAATTAAGCAAGCTATTATATTTAATGCATGGCTACTTTAGGTTTATTATTGTTGGTACGTCCAAGTAGCTAGACATACATGTAGAATTTATATGCCTATATATATGTCAACCGCATTAATAGCATAGACATTACTAGCATTTAAATGCAATATATATGTTCACGTTGACTAACAAACGTTAGTAGACTTAAGTCAAAGGAACTTATTTATATTAATTAGAATTTGGCTAAGATTCAAAATTTTAAAGTATAACACGAAAAGTATATTTTTTCTTCTTCTCGTGTTTGAAGTTTGATTAAATTTAAATTTATGTACATATTGATTTCTAAAAATGACGCTTTCAACATAACTTTTTTTCACTCTCATGAGTTGATCACTCAAGTCTTGAGAGTTGAGACATCTAGTTGGTTAAGAATAGAAAGATCCAAATCGACTCACTATAACCCATATTGATCAGTATATGTTGAGTTTGAATGAACAAAATTATTTTTCTTGCAAAGCATTTTATATTACAACTTATTTTTGGATCATTTTAGTTTTTAATCATTGAACATAAATGAAGGTGACGGTACATTTACGTGTTTTTCAAAATTTAAAAATAATATTTCAATTGCTTGGTATTAAACAAAGTAAATTGAATCGATTCATTTCCTATTACATTTTTTAAAAAGTTTAAATGAGTGAGGAAGGGGAAATGTGGGAGGGGATGATACTATGGCGAATTGAACCCTCACCAATAAGGTGGAAGTTCAGCTAGTTAACCAACTAATGTACTAAGATTCTTTATTTGCTATTACATATACTTTTAATCACGTGGCGATCTTATTGAATTAGACATTCCTAATTTTATCGAATAAAATGACAATTAAACACAGTGAAATACATACTTACTAGTTAACCATGTTATATTTTCCTAACAAATGTTTGCGAATAAAAATGACTCTAATTAATAACTTTTCTGTAAGAATACAAATTTAATCGATCTTCAAATGAGAAATTGTAAAAAGACGGGCACACCCATGGTAGGTGTGCATACATCCAAATTTAATGCTAAGACGAGGGCTATTTCTCATTCCATAATGACATCTTTCGCTCATTCATTCCATGATCCGTTCAAAAACTCCTTTTTATTATTTCTTATTAATAAAATACGTGTCAAGTTAAACACGAACAAATAAAGATGAACCGAGGAAGTATTAAAGGGAGTCAACAAAATACAGCAAAGGGAACACGTGTCTTATATCTTACTGGTCTTTGAACTGTGCATTAAGCTACGTGGCGCGCTAGAATCCAACAAAGTCTGAAAAAGCACGACTCTGAAAAAAGAAAAAAAAACCTCAAAAAAAGCAAAAAAAAAGAAGAAAAAACCAAAATCTATAAGGATGTTTGGCTGCACAAGTTGCCAATCACAAACCAATCTTTTTGTTTTTTTTGGTCACATCACATACACACGACAGTCGTTAGAATTTCACAGTTACCAGAAATTTTTCCATTTTGGCTTCTGTCTCTGTACCTAAAAGTGTTAAAGACCGGACCTTTGAGGGACAGGGGTTGTGGGGTTTTTGTTTTTTTGGTTTCTTGATTAAGGAATATGCTCTGATTCCTTGCAAGAAAAATGGTTTCTTAAATATGCTGATGTCTGTTCCTAAAATATAAAACAGACCCAAATACTCGCTTTTTGCTCTCTTTCATCAATCAGGTAATAAGTTTTTTCTTGTTTTTATAGTTCTTGAAGATAATAATGAAGTTGTTCTTGACAGTTTTGGTGATTTGTTGTTTGATTGATTCATTATGTTTCAGTTTTTGGTTTAAAGATTTGTCTTTTTCTTTCAGCATCCCCTAGATTTGGTGTTGAATATAGGAATTGATCAGTTTTTCATTGAGTTATTGTCCCTTTTTGCTAAATTTTGAATCTTTATTAGTGGCTGCCTATGTTGTTCATACTCTGTGTGTTGGATCCTCCAAAGTGCATATGAGACTATTTCAAAATTAATACTCCTCCGTTTCAATTTGTTTTGTCTTATGTTTCTTTTTAGTTTGTTTAAATAAAAATGTCTCTTTTCTGTTTTTGGCAACACTTTAGTTTCAACTTACCACGTGACAGGTTTAAGATTACAAGATTAAATAGCATTTTCGTACATTTTATTAATATCGTACAAGATTCAAAAGTATTTTTTATTTTCTTAAATTCCATATCAAGTCAAAAGCTAACAAATAAATTGAAACGGAGGGAGTACTTTGCTGAGTAGTTTTCAATCTGAGTTGTTAAAATTTGGTTCTGTTAGAAGATTGTGCACCTGCAAAGATTGTACTTTTGACATGGTTTTCAGTGTCAAGTTGATTATGAATTGGGGTTTGGATACATTTTGCATCATGATTATTGGGGCCAAAATGATGTACTGTATTTTCTCTTCTATGCAGTTGGTTCATGTGAACTAGAATTATTCATTGGGAAGAACTTTTATCCAGCAAAGTGGTGGGAATCTAATACTGCTTGCTGAATGGGGTCTGATAAGCAGTCCAGTGGTCTGCTTGATACTCTAAAAATGGAGACAGTTAGGACAATCTTAACTCATTCTTATCCTTATCCACATGAACATTCGCGTCATTTGGTCATTGCAGTGTTTGTCGGATGCTTATTTTTTATATCATCAGATAACATGCATACACTTATTCAGAAGTTAGATAGCAATATCAAGTGGTGGTCAATGTATGCCTGTCTGCTTGGATTCTTTTACTTCTTTTCATCTCCATTTATAGGGAAGACAATCAAACCAAGTTACTCAAATTTTAGTCGTTGGTAAGTATGTTCTTTCTATATCTGGCGTAATAACTAATCCTTTTAGTTAAATATATTGATGAAACTGGTAATGAGAGGATTGTGTTTTTGCAGGTATATATCCTGGATACTTTTGGCTGCTCTATATCATCTTCCCAGTTTTCTATCTATGGGAGTAGATCTTAGGATGAACCTGTCTTTGTTTCTGACCTTATTTGTCTCATCCATTTTGTTTCTTCTCGTTTTCCACGTTATTTTTCTTGGGCTTTGGTATCTTGGCCTTGTTGCTCGCGTGGCGGGAAAGAGGCCTGAGATCCTGACAATTGTGCAAAATTGTGCTGTAAGTTTTTGGAACACTGTGTAAGATGATATAAAGTAGTTGGGGTCTTTGTGACTTATTTCTTCATCATCTCTTTAGGTATTAAGCATAGCCTGCTGTGTGTTTTATAGTCACTGTGGCAACCTTGCTGTAGTAAGGGAAAAGACATTTGGTCGGAGGAATTTTGGTTGGTTTTCATTGTGGAACAAGGAAGAGCGGAACACTTGGCTTACAAAACTCGTAGGCATGACTAAGTTGAAAGACCAAGTCTGCAAATCTTGGTTTGCTCCAGTTGGGTCAGCCAGTGATTACCCCTTTTTGTCTAAGTGGGTCATCTATGGAGAGGTATTGTCTCTCACAGTTTGCGTTTCTCATATTTCCAACTTGATATAATGGAGGATCTTATGTTGCTGTTGCCTCTTTTTTCTTTCTGAATTTTGACCTTTCAGTTGACTTGCAACGGGTCATGTGCACAATCGTCAAATGAAATTTCTCCGCTATATTCATTGTGGGCCACTTTTATAGGCCTCTACATTGCAAATTACGTTGTGGAAAGGTCATCAGGGTGAGCAGCTTGAATATTTGTTCACATAATAAAGTCCTTTTTTGGTGGTGTCTTTGCCTGCGAAACTGCTGCTAAAGATGCAGATCTTTAGACATCATTATGATGTTTGCTGTACAGGGTCCAATTGTGAAAAATGTGGTCTCTGTGCGAGAACTTTTAAGTGAACAATTTCTTAGATTAACATATTAAACAAACAAAAAAAAGAATTCTTCCTGGATTGTACGATATTAGGAAATCTGTTCTACTTCATTACTTACCTGAGACCCTGAAGATTCCAGAATGGATCAAGGGGTTAAGTTTGCCATCACCATGGCATTAGTTGCTTGCCCCTTATTCGTCTTTACGGGAATATCATTGAAGATGAAGAGCTTCTAGGCTTTGCTTGTGATGGCAAATGTATTATAGTGTCATTATAGAAAAGCAAGTCACCCATATTCTGTTGCTATTCTGACTGTGCTTTAAATGGTACCTGGTTGGTTCAATTTGGCACAACAGCCTATTCAAAATTAGAAAGCTTTCCCTTGAGTAAATTATGAGCATAGTTTTATTACCCGACATTATTCTGATTTTACCTGCTTGGCGTAAATTGTAAGCACCATTCTGCTAGAGTTTCTTGTCTGCTAACAGTTCACACTATAATGATTAACAGATGGGCTCTTTCACGTCCTTTGTCACTCCAAGAGTTCGAGAAATTGAAGAAAAAGCAAACGAAACCTGAGTTCTTGGATATGGTTCCTTGGTATTCAGGGTATGTTCTTTCGTTGTACCTCTTACGTCTCCCCTTTTATCTGTGGGGCCAGTATTCTGTGGTGAAAAAAGCTTTATCAATCTTCATAATAGAACACTGGTTACTGGAGTTGCAGGACATCTGCTGATTTGTTCAAGACAATGTTTGACTTACTGGTCTCTGTAACTTTGTTTGTTGGACGCTTTGATATGCGAATGATGCAGGTAACATATATGATGTTCTAAATTCCTTCAATGTATATTCAGCTAGAGTGAAGTTCCTATTGCAACAACTTATGAGATGCTGCAATCTTTATTTTTGTAAAGATTTTAGAAGGGTCAAGGCTCAAAATGTTCCTCCTTTTGATAAAAACTCTGCACATGTTAATGAAATGACAAATGTATAATGGATTTGTATTTTTGATGATAAAAGACAACATGCTTGATAAGTAGATTAATTATTTCATGAATTTAATTAATCTGGCTAATTTATTCGTGTGCTTATAATGGACTGGGTTGACCTTATATTGTCCTAAAATTCTCCGATGGTTAGGCGGCTATGAGCAGGGTTGAAGATGGGGCTAAGCAGGAGGATCTTTTGTATGATCAGTTTAGTGGGAAGGATGGTCTGTGGTTTGACTTCATGGCTGATACAGGAGATGGTGGAAATTCTTCATACACTGTGGCTCGGCTTCTTGCTCAACCTTCACTCCGGCTCCAAGTCAATGGTTCAATGCGTACTCTGCCACGTGGAGACATGCTTCTTATTGGGGGTGACCTTGCGTAAGATCCTAGTTCTCTGTATACTAGTAGTTTGTCTTTGCATTATCCTGAGATATTCTGATAGACTCATCTTATGTCTCAAAAATTAAGATAGTCCAATTAATTACACTGAAAATTGGACGGGCATCTTCAATGTAGATACTCTAGTACTGGCCATTATATCTAGGAAATCAGTGCGGAAGCAATTTCATTTCTTCAGCATTTATATGCATAAATGTCCAATCCACTCAGTTTTGGGTGTAATATGAAGCAAGCCATCTGTGGTGCTGATACATATACTTTTCTTTCTTTCTTTTTGTGCCAGAGAACTCTATATGTTTTGCCTCTTTATTCATTTAAAGGAAAACTGTTCTGCCTTTTCACTTCATTTAGAACTAACAACAGCATGACAGTATGCTGTTGAATTTGTTAAACTAATAATTATTTATATTTTCTCGTGTTGCATAGATATCCTAATCCATCATCATTTACATATGAGAAGCGCTTTTTTCGTCCTTTTGAGTATGCTCTTCAGCCTCCTATGTGGTATAAGGAAGAGCATATTGCTGTAAGTAAGCCTGAATTGCCTCCTGAAGTGGATGAACTTAGGCAGTATGATGGACCTCAGTGTTTTGTCATCCCTGGAAACCATGGTCAGTATAGCTTCTTAGCTTGTACCTCGTGAACTTCTTATTTCCTTTAGTTTCAGTAAAGCAGTATGGCTTCTTTAATCTTGATTTTTTTTTTATAATAATCGAAGTCCATTCGTGAATTGCAGACTGGTTTGATGGGCTTCAGACGTATATGAGGTACATTTGTCACAAGAGCTGGTTGGGTGGTTGGTTTATGCCTCAAAAGAAAAGCTATTTTGCGCTTCAGCTCCCCAATAGGTGGTGGGTATTTGGTCTTGATCTTGCACTCCATTGTGATATTGACGTATACCAATTCAAGTTCTTCTCAGAATTAGTGAGAGATAAGGTATGTCCTCACTGCTATGAGCATAGTCGTCATGTTGCTTTCTGTTATATCTATATTGTTGAATATTGGAACATTGTCCTAGTTCAAATATACTGCTATTAATTAAAAAAGGTGGATGTTTTATGCAGATTGGTGTTAATTGTTTCTGAAGTTCCTAATAAAGAAACTATAATCTTTATTATTTATGGTAAAAAATAATTGTCACATTAGTAGGATTAGTAATGACAGATGGTGATCTTTTACACGTGTACAACTGAGCATGATACTGGTCCAGACTTCTGCAAACTTTTCCCAATAGTGTTCTCAATTGATAGGAATAATCTAATATTGTTAAGAGAGACCATTATCTACCTTCACCCCTAGCCACCACAACCAACTTCCTCCACCACCATTCACTATCACGACCGTCCATCTCTACTACCTTAACCAACTTTACCACCAGCCCCACCATTAACCACCTATACCATCAGCCATCACCGTTAATAACCCCCACCACCAGCTTTCGCCGCATATCACGAATAAAAACCACGTCCAGCTATACTACCAGCCATCACCGCACAATCAATGCTTTGGCCCGCACCCACACAACCTCCAGCTGCCATCGCTGCTAGCTTTTAGAACATGCTTCATGATACAAACAGATTTTACAACACCACATCAACTAAGGTTTTCTCTAATATTCTCATGATATATTATTCAACTATTATTTTAAAAAATACGTCTACATTTGTTAGTTTTTTGATAATACAAATTATACACATTGAGATGATTAAGTAACAAAAAGTCTCAATTATTCAGCATTCAGATTTAGTGGCAACATCTTAGTAATTAGATATTTATTCAGATTCAGATTCAGACATCTGAATCTTAATAAATATAAATGAAACCGCAGTTTGTTTGTGTTGAGGAAATGGTGTCCTGAAAGAGGTTTAGTTCACCGCTGGGCTAAAACCAAATACTGAAGCAATATTAGTTGTTGAAAGTATTGAAGTCCGTGGTATGGTTTAATCGAGATACTTTTTCTCTAGTCGGAGTTCAAAATCATGGTATGTGTATCAGTTGTTCTTATTCATTTATTCTGTTATGATGAGAAGAACTAGAATTGCCTTGTTTCACTTAAACTTTTTATCAATCAAATATAAAAGAAAAAGAAGTTAACCCCCCTCTCCCCCCAAATTTTCAACTTCTCCATCAGAATAATGTGGGAATGCTTGTAATCTGTCATTTCAAGAGGAAGGTTTCTCAACATTGGTTCTGAGTTACGCATACATTTCTTATGGATTATAATTCCATGAAGTTTTTTCTTGCTGATAAGACCTGAAAATTATTTTGCTAGTGTGTGAATGGTAGCAGTCAATAAAAGATCTTAACAGTGAACAAGACCTTGACTAAAGTGTTAGTGCTCCTTAGTTCCAGATTCATGTATCTATCCAGTCTTTTTCTTCAAGCTACTGATTTTCGATATGAAATGAAGATTATCAAGCTTATAGCAGAATTAGTGACTCTCAGTTTTTGAAGCCCACAGAGTTGGTTTACAGCTGGTGTGTGGGAATTCTAGACGTAGTTGATTAAGGGATCCAATGCCTATATCATTCCTTTGTGTAGGCTTTTATATAGTTTCGAAATGTTACCTAAGCTCCTTATTGGTTCTTTCATGCCTTATTTCTCTTTCTATTTATGAAGAGAAAAGAGAGGAGAAGATGTGAGTTTTCTTAAATATGCAAAGGATTTGTTTACTGAAGGTTTTAGGCCTTGCTTAATTGATGCACTGTTCAGGTCGGGAAAAATGATTCTGTGATCATTATGACGCATGAGCCGAACTGGCTTCTTGATTGGTACTTTAATAATCTGACTGGAAAGAATGTTACCTACTTGATACGCGACCATTTGAAAGAAAGGTGTAGACTACGGATTGCTGGAGATGTGCATCACTATATGCGGCATTCATATGTTCCATCAAATAAGCCTGTTTATGTCCAGCATTTACTTGTCAATGGTTGTGGAGGTGCTTTTTTGCACCCTACACATGTCTTCAAGAATTTCAAAGAAATATATGGAACATCATACGAGACCAAAGCTGCTTACCCAACTTTTGAAGATTCAAGCAGGGTAAGGAGTTTAAAATTTCCTTTTTGAAGGTTTTCAATCAGATACCTACCAAAAAAACAAATTTCTGGTCGGATATATTATTCAGGTGCTTACATGCTTATTAACATTTGCAGATTGCATTGGGCAATATATTGAAATTTAGGAAGAAAAACTGGCAATTTGATGTTATTGGTGGCATGATATATTTCATGTTGGTCTTTTCTATGTTTCCACAGGTAATTTGTATTTTAGATTTTTGATCTGTTCTTTTAGATTTGTTGTAAGCATCAGTTCCCTCGCTGCCTCATGCCTCCTTAGGCTGTAGTATGTTAATTTGATGTTTTTTTGAGCAGTATATTGTATTTCACTTTTCTAATGAACCTAAGATGTATTGCTGCTGGGCAAGAATGACTAATCATTTCCCATCTGCTTCTAGTGTCAGCTAGATCACATTTTAAAGGATGACACCTTCTCGGGTCGCTTGGGAACCTTCTTTGGCACAGTGTGGGATTTGTTTATGTATATGCTGGGATGCTCATATGTATCAGCAGCTGGTGCTATATTACTTTTAACAATTGCAATAGTCTTTGTGCCTTCTATGGTGTCTTGGAAAAAGAGACTACTAATTGGGATTCTTCATGTGTCCGCACACTTGGCTGCTGCCTTGATTCTCATGCTCTTGATGGAATTAGGTGTTGAAATATGTATTCGGCATAAATTACTTGCAACTTCAGGTGAGGTTTTGTTTATTGTCTTCAATGTGTGATTCAGTTGATTTGTTTCCTCTTTAGTCCAGTCCGTTGTCGCCGTTCTGATTCTTAATATAAGTTCATTATCCCATGGATTTGCACATATGTGACAGCAGAGTGCTTAAAAGTTCTCAGCTAATGCATGGAACTAATTAGAACCTGCTAGAAATGTCCTCTCACTGGCATGTCCCATCTATTGGATACAACGCATTTATAGTACAACGTGCAAGCAAATAATTTATTTTTTTTACTTCAGAATGATAGTATACCTTTTAATTCTGATTGATAGATAGCTTCTCTGGGCAACTAGTTAAATGGAATTATTACTGAACTCAGCCCTGATTTCCTGTTTCTTTGAATCCTATTGCTTTTTGTTGAACAACGTAACTTTGTAATCCAGGTTATCACACTTTATATCAATGGTACCAGTCTGTGGAGAGTGAGCATTTTCCCGATCCAACTGGCCTTAGGGAACGTATAGAACAATGGACATTTGGCCTATATCCAGCATGTATCAAGTATCTCATGTCCGGTTTTGACGTTCCTGAGGTAAGAAATCATATGATAGGGGATGTTGCTTCATGACGATTCAGTTGCTCTGTGATATTTCTGTCTTCCTCTAATCTCATGCACACAAATTTCAGGTAATGGCCGTTACCAGGAGTAATATTTGCAAAAATGGGATTGATTCTCTCTCCCGAGGGGGTGCTGTCATATATTATGCATCAGTCTTCCTTTATTTTTGGGTCTTATCAACTCCGGTGGTTTCTTTGATACTTGGAAGCTACCTGTACATTTCCATCAATTGGCTTCACATACATTTCGATGAAGCATTTTCATCACTCCGCATTGCAAATTACAAGTCATTTACACGGTTCCATATCAATACCAAAGGCGATCTTGAAGTTTTTACCCTTGCAGTCGATAAGGTGAGATATCTTTATTATCCCCAATAAAGATGATAAAAAGGAACACGAACTCACTGTCACTACCTCACTCTGCTGAAAGAATCTTCATAGCCAATCCCAGCTAGTTGGGATTGAGGCGTAGTTTGTTGATTGAGCTTTCTGGAAGAGTACTACTTTTAGAGAGCATTGAATATGAGCTATTTACACTTAAATGTATGATTTTGCAGGTTCCGAAAGAGTGGAAATTGGATCCAAATTGGGATGGGGAGTCGAAACAGCCACAAGAACCAAGTTATCTCCAGAAGTTCCCTAGCAAATGGAGAGCTAAGGCCCCTCAGCAGGACCCTGTAAATACCGTGCGAATAATTGATCATTTTGTCATCGAACAGAAAGAATAACCTGATTCAGAACTATCGAACGGGTAACTTAACCAATGAGTAGTTTGATTACTAACTCATCTAGTGTCATCCTGTACAAATGTTGTAGGTTTAAAGTACTTAGACAGTAGTTGATATACAAGAAGTTTTTTAGGATAGAAACAGGATTGTAAAAGACAAATCAAAGATCCATTTGGATCATAGTTTTGTTAAGAAAAGAGAAATCCTTGTTAGTCATTATACTTTTCTTTTAATTGAACCACCATTCTCTTTTAGGAATATCTGTCTATTGTCTAGTAACTTCACATTGTGAGATATTACTAGTATCTTGTGGCTGGTGAAATCAAGAATCTAAGTACTAGGTAATTCTATCCATCAAAGCAGTTCAGACAGATGGAAGAAAATACCTAGTGTTTTTGCCTCTATTGGATATGATATCTCATGGATTTAACTCACTTCAAGTACTAGGTCACACTCTTACATACCGCTTGAATAATATATTTTCAAAATGAGAGTGTTATAAGTGTTTAGATTTGAAAATCGACTTATATTATCAACTCTTCTACATTACCAATAGTATCAAAGTGAAATGTGATAAGCAACTTGTGACATTTGGAACAGAAAACACAATTATCATTACTCTTCCTCCATATCAAATACCAAAAAGATTGCATTTGTCAAATAAATGGCTCTAACATGCTAATGTCTTGGAACTTGATTTCCACCTTCTTGAAACACATGCATCAACTCTTGGTGCTCTTCTGTTTATGCATTGAAATGCTTCCATGGCTGGATTCTGCACAGCTTTTTCAATAATACATATACCATAAATTCATTCCACTGAACTCCTATAGGGACCTCTTCTAAAGGAAAATAAAGAGATTCTAGAGAAGTACATCTCTCCTTTAAGTTTAGAATGTTCCCGAGGCCTCTGCAAGTTAAAACCAGAAGACCAGGGAAAGGAAAGAGTAAAGCCACCTGCCTCTAGATGCAGCCATATTCACTCATCTGCAGCTTGATCAACGAGATGACAATCCTCTCAGTTGTCAATGTATCCTGTTTATGCACAAGTTGTTCGCGACCACGACACTGGTGAGCCAGCTGCCTTGCCATGAAAGGAAATGCCCATTAGGAACAGACGGAGTTGATAAATGGAATCATAGTATCAGCCAAGCTTTCCAGAAACAATAAAGACATGGACAATGATTAACAGGCCAAAACATTTTAGAGTGCATGAGACTGAGTAGCAGGAGGGAATTGCATCACAAGCTCAAAGTGAGCTACATTCCTTTGAAGGGCCTTCTGTAGCCCTCAATGAAATTACAGCTCTTTCTAATTTGGCAATAGTAAGTACAGTGATGAGGGTTAAATGACCAAAATTGACTCCAACAAGAGAGAATGGTTTACATAAATAACACGTTCATTGCCCAAGAGAAGACAATAAGAGTGTACAAGTACTATTACAAGATAATCAAACCAAAACATAAAGCCCAGTAGAACTGAACAAGATGATGAAATAATGAGTACTAAGTTACTTTCTAGGTACACCAATCAACTGATTCACATGACATGACATGTGGAATGAAATAGACATTGTATAAGAAAACCGGTTAGTTTAGGATTGAAGTGGCCTCACCATAAACCAAGTTTGACCTTTGGATTGGAATGGCTTTTACAGGATGATTAGCCGCACAATTTGACCCATAAACCGGAATGCCTTGGTTACTTCTCTCAGGGACTTATTCTTGTCATCTCTAGACCAATGCTGCAATAAAGATGCAATTGATAGAGTTAGTGGTGCTTTTGAAGCATTGAAACAAAGTCCATGATGCAAAAATATTAAGACATTTACCTTTGCCAGCATGTTAAAACTATCACGCACATCTCGCAACAATTTTTCTTCATCCCCCTCCCACTTGTAGAATTCCAACTCTTTTTCCTCTAAGAGTCTCTCAAAGGCCTAATAACATTATAGATAACCAAACATATCAATACTGCATTAAAGGAGTAAACTTGCATGCTGAAAGTCAGAGGCTCAGAGCCACTATATGACGACATGAATTGACAAAACGGTTCAAAGTACCAACCCCTTCAATTCCGAGCATTTCTTCCTGGATAACTTTATCTTCCATGGGAAGTGGTCAATCATTATATAACAAGCGAAAACTTATTAAAATGAAAATTTATGGAAGAAGCCAAAGTTCTGTTTCTTTCTTTAATATTATTACTATTATATTTTGGATAAGTCATGTGAGAAACCAAAGATTCAAGATGGTACACAAAATAAGAAATTCACCTAAATTTAAATTAGAAAAATCACAATACAACAAAGATTCTATTGCATATATTTTGACCAAGTATGAAATACAAAATCTAGAAAACTTGATCAAAATCAGATGCTATTTAGGAGGGGTATATCAGCTCTAAATGACAGTTAGGGGGTATATTAGGCCCTTTTCCCTTTAATTTGCATCCTTATATTTAAAGAGTCCTACCTAAGTCTTATGCTAGTACTATTTGAGCTTCAGAACTGTTTATGACAAGATAAAATATTAGAGCCACATAACAATTACTAAAGCTTAACTTACTAACTGTAACAAATCACGTCACCCCTCCCGAAAGAGAAAAGAAATAGTCTTGTTCATTCAGTAAGGCGTATATATCCCTGAGTAATCTTCAAACATGTCAAGATACCATGTGTTTTTCAAAAGAAATGGTTTTTATGAAGAAAAGTTCAGGATTAAAACTCTAGGAATCTAATGATGGAAAAAGGATGCATGGAGTTGTGCTCCTTCCCAAATTTTCTTAGCTCATATATTGTTTATTTGATTGTTTCAATCATAATTTTCGGAGCAAGGTCTTCATTTTCTACGTATCAATAGAAACATATGTTATATAAAGAATCTCAACACAAAGCAACATGATATGGCACTAAATAAAGCTCGCAAATCCCAGTGGCCAAATATTTTCAGCTCACAAATGAGTCTACCATGGAAGCGCAATATATAATAGTCTTTCACTGGAAGCTTCACAAAGATAACATTTGAAGAAAGACACGCTTAATTTAATACTCCGACAAATAAAAACTCCACAAAACGTTCAGAGGATAATGACAAGCACAGAAGGAAGTTGTACCTTTTTGGCTATGACTTGACCTCCTGCTATGTGTGAGAAATATATGTTGTAGAAGTGACTGAGAAATAAACGAGGAGTCTTTTCTGCCAGTTCCTCCAGATAATTGGCGTAAGTGACTCCAGGAATGCTAGGTTCAGGAATTTCATGACCCTGTTGGCCAAACCATTCTAGGTCTTTCGATATACATTCTGTTCGCTCCAATCCAGTCCTTCTGAAGTAGGCATCTACGTTAAACAAACAGCAAACAGTTTGACATCATTTGAAATTCAACAAGCAACATGTTCTAAAAGTTTTGAAGTATTCCTCTTCTTCTTTTTTCCAAATACCACAAATAGATTAAATTCAACCCTCACCAACATTTAACACTGTTTCTTTTTTCCTCTGTCATGAAAATGAGATTCAAATACCAAGAACTCCTAATAATAAGAATCTAAATAATAAAACAACACAAACTCAGTTGGTTGGCTACCTAAACTTTCACCTTGTTTGTTAGAGTTTGATAATTCAATTCCTTATTCCCCACCTTGTAATCCCCTCCTCATTTACCCTACCCCTACCCCTACCCCTAATTCAAAAAGAAAAGAGAAAAACTGAAAGTTGAAATTTTTTTGGTGAATGTAACATAAATTAACAGAGAAATCACAGAGAATTTGAATGTGTAGAACAACTTACAAGAAACATCACTGGACTCATCAACAATGCGTTCAATTGTACTAAAAACAAGCTTACTATCAACAAGATACTTGAGAAATCCTTCTATACTTGGCTGCCAAGTCGCCTCACCACCATCCCTACCACCGCCACCGCCACCTACATCATCCTCGTCCGACGAAACCGACTCATACCCATCATCTTTCATTTCATCATCACTCTCCGACTTCTTTTTGCCTTTGGAGTTACGAAATTTCATAGCAACAAACCTCATTTCTTCAGTAATACCCTTTTTCTCACCTGGGTATTGCTTTCTGTACCTCCTTCTCTTCCTCTTCCTCTTCACTGGAGGCTTTTCAATTGACGTAACCCCATCTCCTTCTTCTTCTTCTTCTTCTTCTTCTTCTTCTTCTTCTTCTTCTTCTTCTTCTTCTTCTTCTTCTTCTTCTTCTTCTTCTTCTTCTTCTTCTTCTTCTTCTTCTTCTTCTTCTTCTTCTTCTTCTTCTTCTTCTTCTTCTTCTTCTTCTTCTTCTTCTTCTTCTTCTTCTTCTTCTTCTTCTTCTTCTTCTTCTTCTTCTTCTTCTTCTTCTTCTTCTTCTTCTTCTTCTTCTTCTTCTTCTTCTTCCTCTTCGTCTTCATCTTCTTCTTCAGTTTCAGTTTCGGGTTCGGGTTCGGGTTCGGTTTCTAAGTCTGATTCTGAAAGTGTAAAGGAGGAGGCTGCATTGAAGTTTGAGCATTGAAGAACTCTGTGTGTCCACTTTTGGTACTTTGAGGAAATTGATAGGAAAGAAGTAAATTTAGCAAAAAATTGTGGATTTGGGGTTTTATGGAGCAAGGAAAGTGAAGATTTTGAGGTGGGTTTTGGTATTGGCAGCGTAGAAGATGAGCAATAGCATGTCAATGTTGCCATTTCTCTTCACAGTTATCTCTCAAGAGTCAAGGATTTAGCTCTGTTGCTGCCATTGTTGTTCTGTTTTGTTCAAATAAATTAAGCCACAAACACCGATTACACCAAGTTAAACTAAATTATTAAAACTTCTGTTTTTAATATTTCTATTTATCATTTCTAAAATAAATTTTTATTTTTAGTTGTCATTTTTGACATATCAAGAAAAGACAAATTTTTTTCATGTTTTACCTTCAACATTAAATATTAGACACAATACTATACGTTAATTAGTAAGGATTATTTGGTAAAATATCTATATCAATAATGAATGTGTCAAGTCAAACAGTAAAAGTAAAAATGCTTCAATTAATTAGACTGATTACTAGTTCCTCTAATCAGAGGTTGCAATTTTGAATTTCGAATATGAAAATATTCTTGGTACGAAGTGCTTCCCCCAAATGAACCATATACACACAAATCTGAATTAACCAAACTCTAATATGAATATCGAAATCGAATATAAACCTACGCAATGCAAATTTAGATTAATCAAACCACAATATGTATCAAAATAGAACGGAAAACCTAAAAAAAAACTAATAAT